CACTCCGTACTGTTCTGTCCCTGCACACACACACACCTGGTGTTAACGCTTCATACTGTTCTGTCCCTGCACACACACACACCCGGTGTTAACACTCCGTACTGTTCTGTCCCTGCACACACACACACCTGGTGTTAACACTTCATACTGTTCTGTCCCTGCACACACACCTGGTGTTAACGCTCCGTACTGTTCTGTCCCTGCAGCGGATCAACTGGAGCAAATCTCCCAGCGGATCAGAAACTTCTCATCTCAGCTCGATTCCTGAAAACAGGAAACCCGACTGACGGTTGAATCACGCAGCATGAACAGAAGCAGTGGTTCCTCTTCACGTGTGGATTATGACTTTGTGCTGATGTTTTATTCACTTGATTAAGTTTGTTTCATCAAACCGTTTGTTTTCCGTCCATGTTCAAACGTCTTCACCTCCTTTCTGTATTTTACATTTTGCCTCCAAGGAGCCCAACATTTTATAATCCCCAAGAGATTATGAAGAGACGTGAAATAGTTCTGCAGATGTGTAAAGTGTGTCAAACTAATTGTTTAGACATTTGCAGCTTTTTAAATTAAATTCATTCTTATTGTGTTTGCAGAAAACTTTACATGACGCCAGACTTGTCCCAGGTTTTTGACTCCTTTGAAACCACCTTTTGGTCCAAATGTACCTTTATGAGCCTAAAACTGTTTTATTTTGAATTCTTTGTAGGTTTACTTCAATAAATTATGTCTTTGCAACAAACAGGTTGAAAACACATTTTAAAATGAGATTTATGCTTGTGGACTAAAATCAACTTGAAAAAAAATAATATTCTGACATCAAACGATGCAGTTTGAATTTAACAAAGGCTAAAATTCACGACCTGTCCTCAGGCGGGTAAGAATAAATAAATATAACAGAAACAACTCCTCTAGCTTGAGCTCTGGTGTTTCTTCTGGAAGTTACTGAATACAGTAACTTACTAGTGGTGGGGTGATTCTGCTTAAACCCCTAAAATTACACAAATTAATAATAAACATGTTCTTCTTACTGAAGAGGTTACTATAGTGAACGTAAAACTTTTCTGTCCAACTTTAATTGTTCTTGAGAGCCTTGCAGGTATGCACTCAATGTCAACAAAACAAATGGACCCACATCAGGCTGGTTGAAGTCGAACAAATATGGCCGAATGAGACAAGCTGGGAATCTCCAAGATGTTTCGGTGAAACAAAAAAGTGAATCTGAGGAGAAACGACCAAAAGAAAAGGAAAATAAAATTACTGCGGAGTATAAATGTTTGATGCAGTTTAAGCAGGACACTGGAGCCAAGATCAGTATTCAAACCCACAACACTTCACCCAGACCGGTAAACTGAAGCATTTATTTTTTATCCATTCAAAAACATTACGGTGCGGTAGCCCTGTGGTTACGTGCTGCAGCCATTCAACCCTGGGGTCGCTTGCTCAAGCCCAGTTTAAGTCAAGAAGGGCAAGATCTTTCTTCTTACAAGAACAGGTTTTGTTTAATGGTGTTTGGATCAACATTGTTCCCGTGTAGAAGCAGCAGCTCACAGCTGTGAACATCAGCTCGTGGGTTCTGCTGTAATCCACACACAGGATCATGTTTAATGACGCGTTGATTCAAAATGTCCAGTTTGAAACCAGAAAAAGGCTCCGAGTCAGACCGGAAGTGTTCAAAGCTGAAAGCCTCAGGTTTGAAGAACCGGAAGTCTCAGGTGTGTCGGTCTCAGAAGCCTTTGTTGGTCAGCCAGTCCTTCAACTCCTGATCAAAGTGACCTTTGACCTTCAGGGTCATGGTGACCTCATTCACCTGCGTGGGCAGCTCCTTCCCCGTCACCTCCATCAGGTATTCCCTCACGTCCTTCTCCAGAGCCCAGATGTCTCCCTCCACCTTCCGAACCAGCGTCATCTTGCGGTTGCCGTGGGTCAGGTCGGTGTAAACCGGGACGTTGTGCATGCGGGAGCGGCGGATCATGTACGGCAGTGCCGGCGGACTTTCAGCCGGGGGTATCCAGCCGGATGGGGCGGCTCCGACATGTTTAGGAGGGTCGGGGACTCGCGACGGGGGAACGAGCCGCTCTACGAACTTGTACTCCTCCGTGGACTCGATTATCGCCTGCTTTCTTTTCTGTGCAGCGCTGGATGCTAACCTGAGCCCGGCGGCGGCAGCTGGGCCGGTCCGTGTCCGGTTCTGGAGGCTAAAAGCTCCTCTTAGTGCACCACGGAGCACCGCAACACGAAGGTTAACACAGCCCGACATCTTCTGCATGGAGGTAACGGACTGAACCGGAAGAGATAGATCATTTCCGGTCGTGCGTATGACGTAATTTCCTGGTACGTCAATGAAGTCTGTGGAATCCGATTTATTTTCAAATCTCTAGATACTTTTTAATTAATAACCTAATATTACTGGGAATATTTTTTTTCATAAATGTAGATTTTATTAAGGTTAATACAAATTTACGTCATTAGGAAAATAACCTGAAATGTTTTTGTGAGTCACTTAATCTGGTTAAAAGTAAATCTGCTCAACAACTTTACTTTGATTAACAACTTTGATTTGATGTACAGTAAACCTCTTTATGCTTGTTTATTATTATGTAAAATTATTGTACTGTTTTATGTTTTAGAATATACAACTCATTCATTCAACCTTTTATTTATACAGATTAATCCCGTTGAGCGGGGACTCATTTACAAGAGAGACCTGATTTTAACAGAGACTGATGACAACAATGAACAAAGACAATAACAGACAATCATAAAGGATGTATACAAACTGAGATTTTTTTTTCAACCTGTGAAATATAATTGTTACATTATATTAGCATTGTTTGCCTTGGTTTGTTTGTAAACTGCTGTTCTTAATAAAATAAAATAACAGACTTCCTGTATCATACCCAAATAGTTTGTTGTTGTTTTTGTTTGTTGAACATATTATTGTGTATTTCATAGAACAATAACATTCCCAGTGCCTAATTTTTGTAGTTTTACCGTAAACTACAGATTTGATGTGATCTTAAATATAACCTCAGTGCAACTAAAACAATGCAAACTATTATTAAAAAAATAGAAATGTCACAGTAAATTGCTAGCAGCTGTGGGATTTATTTCTCTCTACAATAAACACTGTAGATATCTAACATTTGATATAAAATGGAGAGTTGTTGAAGCTGGACCTAGATAGATGTATTAAAATAAACGTTTTACACCGACCTAAAACACAAAATTAACTCAAACGGGGTTTTGTTATTGCACATACTGAAATTTAAAATAGCTTTTGAACTTGTCGTATTCTCAATGCAAGATGTCCTTAAAAATAATTTTATTACTTGTTCTTTTAATTCTAAAATTATATTGTAGATTTATGTTATGCGTTTTTACTTTTGGGTTTCAGAAAAAAGTTATGAGGTTTATTGGTGGAAATGTAAATATCTAAAATATGAGTTTGTTTTAGTAAATTTGACATAAACGTTTTTACTTTCAAGCTTTTGTAACTAGAGAAATCAGTTTGCTCTTAAGAGCTCGTGGCCTTTCATCGAAGGGAAGTTGGCGCAGATTTGAACCAATAGGAAGCAGGATCATGTGACACCTGACCAATCGGATTGAAAAACGCATTTCCGGCGCGTGAGATGTTATAAATAGCCCCGCCTAGTGAACGGTCCACATTTGCTTCTTGCACAAGGCTGATAAAGGTCTGCGTGTTTGAGCGAACTTTAATCTACCTTCTCTTCCTCGTTCTTCAACTCGCCTTTTTGAAATCCAGAAACAATGGTGAGTACGAAACTTTAGTTTTTACTGATAAAAAATGGATTCGCTTAAGTTTGTAAACAACTTTTTAACGTTTAGCCGGTTAAATGAATCGAATCGCCGGCGCTTCACTCGACATTTTAAGCTTTACGACACAAAACCCGAAATTTCTATTGTGGTAATTTGTGTCTACGAACGAATAAACGTTGTTCTATTATAACTATGGTTTTGTAAACTGAATGAAAAAACTTTTAGGTGTAATTGCGTCGCCAGGCCTAACTTAACTTTTTAGGCTTGGGTGTACTTCCGGTTTTTTGTGTGTTTTTTTTTGGCGCACATTGTTTCAGTCGGGGCTCCGTGCATGCCGCTGATTCCACGACTTTTTAAGAGTGCGTCATTTTTGAACTACAGTAACTAGATTTTCAAACAAAAGCTTTTCTGTCTGAGGATTTACAGACTTTACATTGTCAAGAAGTTTTCTTTCATTGGACTGAATAACCACAGCTGTGTGGTTTAAATGATTTGAGGGAGCATAAAACATAATGATCATAAATCAAATGACTGAGTCACAATGTTCTAGTATCTTGATCTTTTCTTTTTCTACAAGAGACCATTTGTACTATCCTCCAATCCCCTCCCCCTTTGCTCCTGCAGGTGAAGAGCAGTAAAACCAGTTGGGTGTTTTTCTTGACCCTCCTGCTGTCCCTGGGTCAAAATGACCCTTGAGCCCTCAGGGTGGAGGGTTAAGCACTAAACTTAAAAATGTTAAGACTAGATAAAAGCACAACTTGGCTCAGTCTACCAATATCTTAAATGAAAACCTTTTTTGTGTCTCCAGCGTGAGTGTATCTCCGTGCACGTTGGTCAGGCTGGTGTCCAGATTGGAAATGCCTGTTGGGAACTCTACTGCCTGGAGCATGGCATCCAGCCAGATGGACAGATGCCAAGTGATAAAACCATAGGTGGAGGAGACGATTCCTTCAACACCTTCTTCAGTGAAACTGGATCGGGGAAACATGTCCCAAGAGCTGTTTTTGTGGACCTGGAGCCGACAGTCATTGGTAATCTAAGACCTCTTTCCTGAATTTAAATGTAAAATGACATGTAAGGACGACGTTTAAATAATTCAATTGCTCAATCAGATGAGGTGCGTAGTGGAACCTACCGTCAGTTGTTTCACCCCGAGCAGCTGATCACTGGTAAGGAGGATGCTGCCAACAACTACGCCCGTGGGCATTACACAATCGGGAAGGAAGTCATCGACCTGGTTCTGGAAAGGATCCGCAAACTGGTGAGTCCATTTCAAAGCAGTTGGGATTTAAGGAGATCAAGTGAAATGACTAAAACGTTCTTTGTCCTCAGGCAGATCAGTGCACAGGTCTTCAGGGCTTCCTGGTCTTCCACAGCTTTGGTGGAGGCACTGGTTCTGGTTTCACCTCCCTGCTGATGGAGCGTCTGTCTGTGGACTACGGCAAGAAGTCCAAGCTGGAGTTCTCGGTCTACCCAGCTCCTCAGGTGTCCACTGCTGTGGTGGAGCCCTACAACTCCATCCTGACCACCCACACCACCCTGGAGCACTCAGACTGTGCCTTCATGGTGGACAATGAGGCCATCTATGACATCTGCCGCAGAAACTTGGACATTGAGCGTCCCACCTACACCAACCTGAACAGGCTCATCAGCCAGATCGTGTCCTCCATCACGGCCTCTCTTCGCTTTGATGGTGCCCTGAATGTGGACCTCACAGAGTTTCAGACCAACCTGGTGCCATATCCTCGAATCCACTTCCCCCTGGCAACCTACGCCCCCGTCATCTCAGCTGAGAAAGCGTACCATGAGCAGCTGACTGTGTCCGAGATCACGAACGCCTGCTTTGAGCCGGCCAATCAGCTGGTGAAATGTGACCCTCGCCACGGCAAGTACATGGCCTGCTGCCTCCTGTACCGCGGTGACGTGGTGCCCAAAGACGTCAACGCTGCCATCGCCAACATCAAAACCAAGCGCAGCATCCAGTTTGTGGACTGGTGTCCCACTGGTTTCAAGGTGGGCATCAACTACCAGCCGCCCACTGTGGTTCCTGGTGGAGACCTGGCCAAGGTCCAGAGAGCCGTGTGCATGCTAAGCAACACCACGGCCATCGCAGAGGCCTGGGCTAGACTAGACCACAAGTTTGACCTGATGTACGCCAAGAGGGCCTTTGTCCACTGGTATGTGGGGGAGGGGATGGAGGAGGGAGAGTTCTCAGAGGCTCGGGAGGACATGGCAGCTCTGGAGAAGGATTATGAGGAGGTTGGAGCAGATAGCCTGGAAGAGGAAGAGGAGGGTGAAGAATATTGAGCAGTGTAGTTACTTTGTGATCATGTCAAATAAAGTTTTTACGTGCATTTCCTGTTTTGTGTTTTATTACAGCAGTTTTGTCTTAAGACGAATCTTCTGATCTTTCTGCTCCCGTTGTCCCTGTTGTAAAATATTATGGACTATCGATGGTCAAGTTGAGGTTGAGACCTCAGTGTGGTTCATAAAACAGTGGAGGCTGATTTAAATCTTCAGATACTAAAAAAAATGCTTTCATATTTTCACCACAGTTATGGATAAACTGGAAAATATTGCTACCCTTTGGTCAAGATAACTGGAGCCTTCAAGGTGAAACGAAGGACAAATCCACAGTTCAATAATGAACAGGCCAATAAGACTTCTAACGAGATTTTTTTTAAGTGTGGTCCTTTGAAACCTTTATAAAGTCCATGGCTATTCAACAAAACTGCTTGGGCCACAATTTCTGAAAGCCAACAGCTCAGGGCCGGACACGGAGCGATTAAAATCGTAACTAAACCAAAGTTTACAATGATTCGTTACCTTTTTATTTTATTGCATCGAATCATAAATGCAATAAATAACCCAAACATTAAGTGTGCCAGATTAAAGTTGTCCCTGGGCCGGTAATGGCCCGAGGGCCACCACTTGAATAGCCCTGCTTTAATCTTTTATCCAGAAGACTTCAGGTTTAGTCTGAATCAGCTATTTGCACGCAAAAGGAGGACCGTCAGCCCAACAATTGGTTATTGTCCAGGTGGCTACTGGCTATTCAGAGTGCCGAGTGATGCATGTAATACTGTAAACAAAGCGGCGTGACTCCCATCACCCACTGGAGTATAAACTGGGAGTCGGGACTATCACAGCAGACTGCGTCCTGACAGGAGCCAGGAAGGAGACTCAAGATGGGCTCTGCAACAATGTGGATATCTGAACTGGGCCATTTTTAATACAGTTAGAATACATTTTGGAGCACTTTGAATCATAAGAACTGTTCTTGACCAGCAGCAAACGTTTACCACGGCCACAAGAATCCACCCAACCTTCATTAAATGTGACGTCGTTAAAAGTGAAAACATCTGGTGGCGACGTAAGAAAAATGCTTGTTGTGGAGTCGATCTGAACAGGAGGACCCATTTGACCTGCCTGAACCCTCAGGTTTCTGTGAGTCTAGATTTCTGCAGCCAGTGGCAGGAGGATGGACGAGAGGACGCAGCTCTGA